AAGAATACTTTCCAGATGTGGAAAAAATATATAAGGGATAATGATGCTATAGAAAGAAAGAAAGAAAGAACATCCTTTTTGTTACTGGAGGTACTTAAAATGTTGAGTTGATATCATTAGTATTATACCAATAAATTCCAACAAATACGAGACATGGACAATTTTCTTGAAATAAATAAATTATAAGACTGACTCATTAAACTAACAACAGTATATATTGTTAAAAGAAAGTAAATATTTTTTGGTACCAGGAATTGAACTCAGGCCCTTGCACTTGCGAGGGAGGCCGTGGAACCACTGAGCCAAATTCCGAGCAGTAAATCAATTCTTAATTTAAAACCTTTTCACAGGACTATATAACAGGATAGCTTCCTTTGTAAATTCTACTAAATATTTATAAAATAGACTTGAGTAATTTAAAAAGTGACTCCAGATCAAGTACCAAATTTCCAATAATTTGATAAAAAAGCAAGAAAAACAAGAAAAAGAAAGAAGTAAAATAATTCGAATAACAAATTTTGGAAATCATAGAAGAAGGAAGATATGCCTCTCAATGAACAAAATAACAAAAACGTTGTTGTTTTTTTTAAAAAAATATATATAAAACAGGAAATCCTACTGTTTATACTTTTGTCCAGTAGCCGATTCTCCAGCAGGATTTTGTGGCAATGAATCAGAAAATCTCAAGATAATAGAAGACAACTCCACTGGTAGGAATAATTTTACCCTGAAGTCAACATTAAAAACATAAATATCTAAGTGGATCAGACAATAGGTGATATGAAAAGGACTTGTAATATGCTTGCCTACAATGGGCAGCCTTCAAAACTCACAGCTTCCAGGGAACAAAACATGTGAGAGAAAACAGTTAATTTTGGTAATTAGATAATGAATAGTAAGAGAAAAAAAAAAAAGGTAAAAAATGACCCCTATTCCTCAAAAAAGCAAATGAAGCAAATTAGGAAAGAATTTGATCTTTCTCTTCTGAACAAATAATGTACTGACTTGTACATTTCTATACTGATGAAATCGTGCCACACACACGTGAATCTCCAAAATCACCTCACAATAGCTCCATAGATGCACAGAGAGCTCATGAAAAAAAATTACAACATAAAACTCAATACAATCACTGAAGATAGCTTCCCATGTAAAACAATAATGAAGCAAAGAACAGTCCTCATGATCAAAACCAAACCTAACCAAAACAAAACAACTTAACAAAGGTCCAAAATATCAATAAAAAGCAAAACAAAAGGTAGATAATAGGAAGTAGGGAGATAATCTTTGTCAAATGGGAAGATCAAGTGCTAAAGGGAGGTGGGTAGAAGGGAGGGGACACTGATGAAAAAAAAGAATTAGGATATGTTATGTACATGCACAGCACCATACAAGCAATATAAATGTCATCTACTGGAAGCATATAGTAATAAAAAATAAATCTAAGACATGACATTAAGCAAGAGAATGAAAATGAAATTAGAAAAAATAAAAATGATGTGAATATTTCAAACAGGTAGAGAAAAGATTTCGAATTTTTTACCTTAAATAAATGCTAAATATTTAAGAAGACACATGTGCTTATTCTGATGTGAACTTTCCAGAGCAAATGTATATATATAAACACATCACATGATACCCTATGCATATGAACAAATTTTACATGGAAGATTAAAAATTAACTTTAAAGAATAAAAATAGATAATATTGCCGAATAAATACTTGATTTGAATGGTTAGCAAAAGAGGAATAACATTTATATTGTTAAAATTCTTAAAGAAAAGCAAAGAAGGGAAAAACAAAAAACAGCAAGAAGTATTTAAAGATGTAATTCAAGACAAATTTATTCAAAGATAAAAAGCGGTTGGAATCATTTACTGACAAGGCCCACATATGCCTGGAAATATTAACACAGAATGATCAATTAAAATATATATATCAATTAAAATGTTAGATTTCTAGTGTAAAATAGGGTTTTTAATGCTTTTAACTAAAAATAGAAATTAAATTATTTATGAAGGGAAAGAACTAGGTTGATATCAATATTTTCAATATTTTGTGCAAAGATAAGCAAAATGAAAAGTACATTAACTACTGGCATAATATCTTTAATATATTAGTGCAATAAACAGCTTCAATATATAAGAAAATGGAGCTTCTGGACCTACAGACCTGTATTAGGGAGGTAACAAAGTACAATTTTCTAATCAAGGAAAGTTTAGGAAGTCTCCAGCTAAGTATTGCAAGTGAACATAGACTGAGACAGGGTGAAAGACTGAAACATGAATAATTACATCACAGTAAATACTAATTATCTTACTAAAAAGAGAAGGGGGTGAGAATTAAAGAAAATAAACAATTTAGTTGTCTAGACTACAGTGAGGGCTGAAGAATATGGATACAGATGAATAAATCAAATAAGAAAACATTAAAAAATCAGAAATAAGTGTATTAAAATGAGTATAAAATAAGTATTAGGCTAAAATTCCCAAATTATTCTTTGTGAAGGCATAAAGTGTATGACCAAAATTGCCAATTATATTACTACATAAAAATGAGTATAATTAGTTTACTGAAAAAATGACAAATTGCCTCATAGACATAGACCTAATTGCTTATATGCCATATGCATGCATAATATTCTGAGGGCCTACAAAGATGGTTTGAAGAAAGTACATATGGAAAACTTCAAAAGAAGAAAGTAAGAGTAGCAGTCATAATGTTAAAATAGAATCAAGGCAGAAAACATTAAACAAAAATATTATTTTTTCGTGGCACTTTTACATTCTAATAACCACAATTACTGCAAAAGGTGTAGGGAAGGTGGGAAGGGTAGGGGAAAGGTAATAAGGGAAAAGAAAAAAATATGAAAAAATGAAAATAAAGTGTTTGTAAATGGGGAGGGGAGGAGGGGTGAAGGGAGGGCAGGGACAAGGGGAAAAAATGAGAACCAAGACCTGTCATGTAAAGGTACAAGATCCCAATGATGAATGTAACTGTACTGTATACCTAAAATGTACAAATAAACTCAATAAAAATTATTGCAAAATATATCATATTCAGTATTGTAATTATGTACAAAATACACACACACACACAAGCAAACATTATGTATATACATATGGACTTGTATCATTGTGAGAATACATACACATACCCACACACATATTTCCACAAGCACAACACAGATAATAAAACACACAGTGGTAGGGAATTTAATACACCAATCTCAGGATGAATCATACTAAGTAGAAAAATAAGTGAGCAGAGAAAACACCTACCAATGAGGTAGCTCCTATGGATAGAAGCTCATTTTGCAGATTTTCATAGATACTCATAGAAAGATTAATTTCCTGAGGCAATACAGATAAACAAAACTGACACATCTAGATTTGGAGATTACACGAGGGCTAAATTGTTAAAACCATGTTCTGTGAATAATACCTCGATCTAGCTAAATTCTCGGGAAAAATCTACCGAATCCTCAAAGGCAGACAAAATCATATTAATGTTCTATAAATGTTTCTCTAGCATTACAAATAAAGGGAAACTTCCTACTCCTTGTAACAAAACAGGTGTAACGTTGCTCCAAGTGGTGACAGACTATTAAAGTGTCTTCACATGTCTGCCTGTTCATACTGAATGCCTTTTTATGATTCACTCCTCACACCAGGCTATGACTTGCTTCTAACAGAGAATGTATATCGTGTATTACATACATATATACTATTTTTCTGGAAGTGATTATGGATTGTACCTTTTGTTACACAACATGGTAACACCATGTGGTGGAATCTCGTTCCCCCACTTTCTGACTGTGAAAAATCCTGAAAATAGAAGTGGCAGTCCACGCGGCCTCTGGGAGCTGAGACAGTTACACAACTTCTCAGTCATGGCGGCTGGAGCTATGGAGCTATAGAGCGCCAGAGTTTTGCAGCCGGAGGGAGCTGAACTTTGCCAAGAAGTGCATGAGTGTGAGGGAGCAGGTTCCCCCTCACCTGAGCCTCAGGTGTTATGCAACCCAGAGTAACACCGGGTCACTTCATCGAGAGACCCCAGACTTTTCATGTAAACCTAAAAGGCTGATTTTTCCAATTATTATGGCCATAAGTGCAGGCCGGTGAGTTTTACAATCTCCTCTTACTTCACAAGTAAAAGATGCGAAAAATTTCCCTGAGGTAGTTTTTTCATTAAAATACTTTTAAAATATCCAGTATAAAAGAAGATATTACTACAGCATTTGCTTCTTTATTTTGAGTCATCATGATATGGAAAATATCATGTTATAATTCTCTGTTATCAATTATCATGTGTAATTCTCAATGTAATTTTCCTTATATATGCCTATAGATTATTTTGCATTTAATTGTGGCTTATACATCAGCACATATGTTAGTATATTATTTCCTCGTAGAGTAGAACTGAGATTTACAAAGAATATGTTACTTTTCTAAGAAAAATGACCTTAGATATGAAAATTATGTTGATCTAGAAATAGTAAGGGAAATATATATTCTTGGGAAACTCACTCATTGTTATTTTATCCATGTGTAAATATCTGGAGACCTAACCCAGGGTCTGGAGCAGGCAAAGCAGCCTCTCCCTCAGTGAGGAGCTCTCGCAATCCCAGTCATTACCTTTCATGTGATCAGAAACCAAAACTGTCATTAGAAACCTTTGGGAGTCAAATGACTAGAAGAAAAGCTAGGATTTTGAATTAAAGAATTTTATTAGGTCAGTGGGAAACAATCAGAAAAGTCAGCAAGGCAGTGGCTCTCACACCATCCTGATGGGAGCGGAAGGGTCAGGTGAATTTCATCTTAACCCAATTCATGAGGCAAATTCCAGCAATTGCTAGGTTCCACATAGGTTACAAGAGCCCCCAGGAAAGCCCATGATAGGGTCATCATCGCTCAAGTGTGAGTCTCAGACATGCAGGGTTCAGAAGAGGTGAGTCTTGATATCACAGGTGTAGAAGGTGGGGATCTCTGATGGTGTCCTCAGTAGTAGGAGCCAAAGCCAGAGCCATAGCCAGAGCTACAGCCATAGCCACAGCCACACAGAGAGCGGGAGCCATAGCCATAGCCACAGCCATAGCCGGAGCCATAGCCACAGCCCAGTCCACGGAAGCCACAGCCATAGCCAGAGCCACAGCCATAGCCGGAGCCATAGCCACAGCCCAGGCCTCCATAACCATAGCCCAGGCCTCCGTAGCCACAGCATCCATAGCCACGGCCGCCATAGTAGTTTCCGTAGTAGCTGCCACACATGGTGTTGGTTGTTGAGGTTGTCGCTGGGTAGAGGAGGAGTGTAGGTGACTTGAGTCTGCACAATTCTCACTGCAGAGGGCCTTTTATATCCCTAGACTGGGTGGGACCACAGCACGTGCTCATGTCATTTGCTAATGTTGTGACTAATGTGTTGTTAAAGACTAGTGGGCAACATCTTAAGGCATCAAAGATGCATCCCTTAACCAGTGATGGTAACTTTAACGAGAGGGTAGCGTCACACATGCAAAGCTAACCTTCATATCAGATCTTCAGTTTAAAATTTGAAAAAGTGCCATGTAAACAAGGAACATTCTGAATGTTTTCACTTGACTTGCTCTTAACTACAATATTTTTGTAGTTGACCTGCAATAATTATGATCTCTCCTTGGAGATATTTTTAATATTTCTTCCAAATACCGGTTGTGTTTGTGTGGATTGATTCCCCCTATTTATCGGATATTGGCTACTTATTTATTTTATCTGTCTCGATTAAAAGTTCAAAAAAAGAAAAGATTTCAATATAAAGAGACAAATAAACCAATTTTTATTTCTTCAAATTATTTCTTTTCGCTTATATCTTTGTGAACATCTAGATAAACAAATCACCTAAATAAGTTATTGTCATGGAATGGGAAAAAAATATCCAAAGGGGAAGTGGAACTGAGAGGGGTAGGGAAAAGGAAAGAAGGGGAAGGAAAAATATGAGAAAATGAAAAAAATGGAAACAAAGTGTTTCTAAATAAAGAGGGTTGAAGGGGAGCTTTAGGGAAATGGGGAAAAAATGAAAACCAAGATATATTATGTAAAGGTACAGATCCTCAATGAATGTCAGCATATTGTAGACCTAAAATGTACCAGAAAAATTAATGAATTAGAAAAGTATTGTCATGAACTGTGTCTGCTTTGAAGGTAATATTGTTAACAGATAGAACTTGAGCTAAAGCAACAGAACAAAAGGGAATGGCCTTATTCTGACAATTATTGACAATTTATCAAGTCTGTGTATTCATCCTTACATCCATTCACCCAATGTAAATGAAATATGTACATTTTTTTTTTGTACCAGGGACCGGACTTGGGCCCTTGTGCTTGAGAGGCAGGTGGCAGAACCACTGAGCCAAACCCTGGCCCAATCAAATATAATTTTAATGAAATTCAGAGAAATCATCCCAGAGCTGTATTTCCTCTCATAATTTGCAACTTGTAGCATTACTAAAAATGGAATCCATTTTGTGATCCTCAAACATAACCTTAGTAGTTTTACTGAAATCTAAGTGGTTATGTAGAGTATCATTTATCTTACACTGAGACATTCTGAATTTGAAAAGCAATAAGGCTCAGATATGAAAGGGACAAAAGCTAACCCTCACACAGAGGCTCAAGTACAAAATGAGCTTGGAAACCTGTTCAGTGTGGAGGGATATGGTGAAAGTCAGAAAAACATCCCAAAGGCTGGCAGAAGTTTTTGCTGGCCAAATGTGGATGACTGATGCATGTAAATGATTGTCCGAGGTACTGCAACACTTCGAGTAGTTAGAAACTATGAGTTCCTACCAATATAAAGAAAAAATGAATGCATACATAAATGGGAGGCAATAGAAGTATTTTATAATAATATTGAAGTCTATAAATGTAATAGGAATCATGAAGAGAAAAGTTATCAATGGATTTAAAACTAGCAGAAAAAGATTTGATCAGCACCAAAATACTTACCTAGTCTCGATCTCTCCAAAACTGAAGAAAATAGTGACTTTGTGATAAAACTGGGACATAAAATGATCAGAGTTAATGTTATCATTATTGTGACAAAACAGTGTCACACCCTTCATGATATGGTGCAGTAATAGGGACACAGTGCAACTTCAGTGTGTGTCGTCAGCATAATCTAAATCTACTCACCGAGGAACTACAGACCAACGCAAGTTTTGGGATATTCCAACAACAACAAAAAACTATGTACTTTTGAAAATATAAAGGTCATAAAGTTCAAAGTAAGGCTGAGGAATCGTACAGATGGTGGTTCTATCTTCATTTGTGCAACTAACAGCAAAAATCAGCTCAATTCATTACTTGCTTTCTTCTCCTTTAGAAGCTATACTATAATTTTATGGAGTCTTTCATAGCATACTTATTTTGTTTGCCTCCAATCTTACAAGCTGCTCCTCTCCATTATGGTTTGCTCGACTGGTTTAGAGTTTGACTTCAAAATACTAGCGTGCTCATGACTTTGTGTTGATATCTTTGTTAGTCTTTATCCGGGCTCTTTTCTATATTTAACCTCAGGACTCTAAGTATGCTAAATACTAGAAGTAAGTTATATCCTCTATAGGATAGTCTTGAATAAGTCTCAGTTTTTACCATCAACATTGACCTTTTGTATTTGTATTCTAGACGATTCTTTAACATTTTTCTTGTTTACTAATTGGCATCAGGAACCTGTACAAACCTTACCTATCTGACTTCTTCTCCTACCCCTCTCCCAAAATTAATTTTAATGCTAAAACGAAGTGGCTTTTCACCCCTTCAAATATACCCAATTTTTGCCCACAATAACTTCCCTTTGTTTTTATCATTTTTTTAAATTACACTTGATCTTCGCCAAAAGGTTGAGAAGCCATTATCGTTTTTTTAAAGTAACACCAGGAATGGTTGTTTGTATCTGCTAATAAAATTAAAATTGTAAACTCCCTAGAGACATCTTTCATGACCATTTTATCTTAGTCTTCTCCAAGTAACTTTTGAAATAATAATGTTATTCACCTGGTTTTATTAGCCTAAGAACAATCCTCACTATTTTATCTAATTTATTTTTAAAATCCGTCTTTCGTTATTTTCTGCTGCAATTGCAAACTGCAGAAGGTTGAGACTTTTCCCGTTTTCTTCATCTACTCCACCCTTATTTCATATAACCATGCCTGAAATAGGGAATTCTTAATAAAGATTGGATGAATAAGTGGAACAGTGAACAAATAAATGAGAAGCTCTAACCTTCTATATCTAATTCTGTGTAGAACAGTCCCTCCTTTTGGTACTATGCCTTGGACACCCGGAGACGTACGCATAAACTCTGGTATCTTACTGAATTATCTGCAAACTATTAGATGAATTTGTCATTGTAACTTCATCTGCTTTCTGAATCTATTCCTTTTTATGGTGGCTAAGGTGATATATATTCACTACAGTTTATGAGTGTGATTTAAGCATACAATACAGATGGAAAACAACTTTACTTTTTCTCAATGTTTGAACACGAAGAAGGATTTTAAGACTGTTTTTGTGCTTCTTCTCATGCTCATCTCAGTTTGCCACAAGGGAAAGTGTTAGAAGATCTCTCAGGGCCAGGGATTTAGCTCAGCGGTGCGATGGCCAGCCTTGCAAGCGCAAGGACCCGAGTTCGATCCCCAAGTATAATATCTATATATATATGGTTAAAGGGCAGTAGAGAGGTAGTGTTTCACCACTCTAACAATGCCAGATAGGTACAAACCAGTAAGGGGCATTTAAGGGGCATAAGTGAAAGAGTGAGTAGAAAAATCAAGTGGGTGCTGTTATATTATCCAAAACATCCAGACACTGCCTGCTTCACCGGGTCTCCATGGTTCTCTACGTGAGACCACTTTGTGGTTCTAACTTTGTTATTTATGAAGGGGTGGCATGGGAAGACTTCAAAAAAGAGGAAGAATATCTCAACAAGCAGGATTCACGTGCATACTTTGTGATCCCACAGTCAACAATTTTAAATTTGGAATTTCGAGGACGCGAGGACCGCAAAAATGAGGAGATGGCCCTCTGCAGACTCCTGACTTCACACTGACACCTAGTGGCAATTTTTGTTGGACACGTGGTTGAGAGATTTTTTTTTTTTTTGAGGCTTTATTTATTGTTTTTTTTATGCCAGTTAGATCGGAGAATAAATCCAGAATAGACTGTGGTTTGCCTTGCACACCACTTAAGTGGTGTAAAACGGCCTGCACAGATTAGGAGACTCCGACTACAGATCAACTCCTCTGCCTCAACTAAACCTTCCATTCCTGACACCATGAGCTACTACGGCAGCTTCTGTGGTGGCCCGGGATACACAGCTATGGCAGCCTAGGTTGTGGCTGTGGCTCTGGTGGCTATGAATACACCTGCTACCGTCCATGCTGCTGTGGATGATACTGGTCTGGCTGCTACTAAGAACTGCTGATTGGTGCTCACTTTGGTTCATTTGCTTATGCAACACTGAGGATATCAACAGAATGATCTCTTTAAATTTATCCAGATCTACTCTTTGATTGTAATGAATCACACCAACATTGACCAGTGGAAATTGCCAACACTTAGGGGAATAATCCTTTGATATTTTGTTATTATTATGTTTGTTGGCACATAACAGTTTTCGTGTAGGGGAATTTATAATGTGTTTTTTAATAACGCTAAACACTTCATATTACTACTGCTTTTCATGAATACTCATTTCTTGTCATCATACAGGAATCCTTTAGTGTGTGTTTGTGTGAGTGTGTATGAGGAGGTCGCTGCTTTTGTGGCTATTTTAATGATGCAGCAAAACATAGGTAGCGTGTCTTATGACTGTTTCTATTTAGACCCTTAAAACTGTTCTGATGTGCTGATCCAACTCTCTACATGGTTCTAACATAAATATTGTTTTAGAAAATTTCAATGTCTGAGACAGATAACAGAAATAGTAACACCGCTATTTATCAAATTTTTGACTGTAATTTTCCATTATAATACAATATGATTTAATCCCTACATCATGTGTTCTGAATTCTTTTCACTCACAAATGAAAATGCTCTTTATGATCTGATTGGTATGCTTGCATAGACTTATTGGCCCACTTCATCTTGACATCTGTCTTAGTCTTTTTTTACTGAGTTTATTGGTACATTTTAGGTATACAGTACAGTTACATTCATCATTGGTATCTTGTACCTTTGCATGACAAGTTGTGGTTCTCATTTTTCCCCTTGTCCCTGCCCTCCCTTCACCCTCTCCTCCCCTCCACATTTATTTCTATTTTTTCATTTTCTCATATTTTTTCTTTTCCCTTATTTCCTTTCCCCTACCCCTCCCACTTTCCCTACACCTTTAGCCCTTTTCTTCCTATTTCACATTGTCAATTATATCATTAGGATCCAATGTACTATTGTAGTTTTTCACACCAGAGAAACTATTCAGTATTTACACTGTGTGACTTATTTATTTCACTTAGGAGTATGTCCTCAAAATGTATCAGTTTTCCTGTGAATGAATCTAAGTTCTCATTCTTTATGGCTGAGTAGTATTCCATTTTATAGAAAAACCACATCTTCTTTATCCAGTTTCCAACTGATGGGCAAATGGGCTGTTTCCAAGTTTGAGCTATTTCCAACTGTGCTGCTATAAATATAGGTGCACATATATCACTGTGATATGATTCTTTTAATTCTTTTGGAAAGATACCCAGCAGAGGGATGGCTTAGTCTTTGAGTTTGTATGATGCTGATTGTCTTGCGGAAAACCCTTCTTACCATGTCTAAAAGGCAGTGTCTTTGGGAGAATAACATTGCACAAAACCTATATCTGTCCTCAAAGTACATATCTGGTCCAAATACATGAAATTAATATTGTCTCTACCTTGAAAACAGTGCCCATTCAATGAAACTCCCTATAACTACTTCTTATATTTGTTCCATCTACATATTATTATCAAAATAGCAAGACTAATTATACTCAAATATAGAGATTTATTAGTTTGCTATTCTTTATTATATTTCTCTTGAATATAAATGCCACACGAATAATGAAAGATACACAAGAGATTACATATTGTATATTAATATAAGAGACTTACCAATCATTACTTTTTAAAAAATATTTTTATTGGTACATTGTAGGTATACAGTACAGTCACATTCATCATTGGGATCTTGCACCTTTACATGACAGGTCTTGGTTCTCATTTCTTCCTCATTCCCCAGCTTCCCTCCCCCCTCACCCTTCCCTATTTACAAGACTTTGTTTCCATTTTTTTCCTTTTCTCTTTTTTCTCTTCCCTTTTTTACCTTTCCCCTATCCCTACCATTTATTTTTATTAACACATGATGTTTGTGTTACATAATAATTACATTATTCATGGGGAGCACATACAAAGCACTTTTTATTTATGTGCTCTTCCTTCTTATCCCTTCTTTTTGTTTCTTGCCCATTTGAAAATATCTATTTCCTCTGATCGGTCTTTTATTTTGTTTTTTATTCATAGTTTGGGTTTCTCATATATGAGAAACTGTGTGATATTTAACCTCATGTGTCTGATTTCTTTCTTTCAGTGTTATGGTCTCAAAGTGCATTCATTGTACTATAAATGCATCAAATTTATCTTTCTTATGGCAGAGTACTCCATGTTGTGTGAATACTGTATTTTCTGTATCCATTTGTCCATTTGGCATACAGGCTGCTTTTAAGATTTCACTGTTTTGAACTGTGCTGCTTTAAACACGAGAGTATATGTATCACTCTAATGTCATACCTTTCCCTCTTTCAAGAAGATATTTAGAAAGGCAGTAGTTGACTGAAATCTCCATACTGAGATACTTAGTGATTATACTAATTTGCTTTCCTATCAACAAGATAGAAGGGTCCCTTTCCCCTGCAGCCTCAACAATATCTGACATTTGATTTCTTAATGATAGTCATTCTTTCTGGTGTAAAATGCAAGCTCAGTATTGCTTTCATTTGCATTTGTTAATGTTCAACATTTGAAATGTATTGATTGGGTATTTTTACTCCTTTGGAGAAGTTTTTAATCTTTTCCACTTCCCCATTTTTTAACTGGGTCTTTTATTTTGAAGGTATATTTGGGGGTTCTTTATATTTCCTAGATATTAATCTATTCAATGTTTAGCTGGCAAAGTTACTTTCACATTTTGTGGGTTGTTTCTTCAATCTTTTAGTTGTTTCCTTTGCTGTGAAGAGTATTTTAAATTTGATATCATCTAATTTGGTAATTCTTGATACTATTTCTTGGCAAATGAGGTTTTTTTTTGGAAAGTACTGGCCTAGGTCCAAAAATTTAAGAGTTCTAGCTATTTCATTTTCCTGCACATTAACTGTCCCTGTTTTTATATTTAGACCATTAAATCATTTTTATTTTAGGTTAGTACATGGTGAGAGATATAGTTCTATCTTCAGTCTTCTGTGTGTTTTTAGCCACTTTCCCTGCATAATTTTTGGCCCCTTTGTCGAATACCATGTATGTAAACAAGTGTGGGATTATAACTGTGTCCTGCATTCTGTTCCATCGATCAATGTTATTTTTGGTGCCAATATCACTGGCACACAAAACAGAATGTGCTGTTTTTATCACCATGGCTTTGTAATATAACTTGAAATCCCAGATTTTGATGCTTTCTGCTTTGCTCTTGTTTTTCAGGACAGCTTTTGCTGTTCTGCTTTCTCTTCTGCTACTATGAGAATTTTAGCATTTTTTCTCTTGTTCTAAGAGGAATGCTAAGATAGCTTTCCTTTTTCTGATGTCCTTTTAGATCTCCTTTTCAGAGTAATACAGTTTCCATTATAATTGTCTCTTACTTCCATTGATAGATTAATTCCTAAGCATTTAATTTTTCTTGA